CGCTACTAACGTGGGTAGTGACAGGGATGATGTCACAGCAGAAGACTAGGTGCAGTATATTATCTCCACGCGTGGGTTGCTGGATGTATTGCTTTCAGCCATAGATATCTGTGACAGCAAGTATTTCATCAAATCGTTGTGGGCCGCGACCGACCTCCCAGTTAACTTCAGGTAAGTTAAAGTAGCCTGCAAGCAGTTTGAAGTCGACAGTGAGGGATCCAGCGTGGGCAAGTGATCTAGCCACCAGTTCATTTTCTTTTGTGGAACATGGCGCTCTATACACACAGCCTATGAGGATTTTGTAGTTAGTACCGTTTATAATGACCCAAAAAGAGTCCGGCAGATTATTTAAGATATCATCTTCAATCGTATTTGAGGTAGCAAGGCTACACACAGATCAAACAGCCACCACCACGCTTGTGATCACGATTAGTGCGATATAGAGTATGGCCATCTATGCATAGGTCCATATCTAGGATTGAGTCAGTACACCATGATTCAGTACCTAGTAATGCTGTGGGTTTGGTTAGTAAAACTATTGTCCTTAAGTCAGATATTTTCTTGAGTAACGAGCGGGCATCAATAAGTTGAAGCGTAAAAAAACTAATGTGACTTGCAAAGTAACTTACTATGTCTCTTAAGCCTGGGTGAGCTAAAGAATTTCCGGTATTTAGTTCGCTAGACGATGCACTACCTATGTCTTGGACGTGACAAGACTCAACAGTGGGGTGTGACTGGTGAGTTTCTGTCTCACACGCATGTGATTACCTAATTTTTCAAGGCACCTATAGGTTCTTAACGAGCACTACTTTACTGTCGGCGTAAGGTATGGTTTATGACCGGTGTAAGTCGAGGAGATTGGTTCCAGCCCTGTGTTATCGGGGGGAGGGGGGGATCGAACGATCCTTAACACCATGGGTCGTGCATATTGTGCGGGGACTGGGAAAAATTTTGGTGGGGTTCATAAGTGGGGAAGATTCTGGCAGAGGGTATACATCTGTTCCCAAAGTATTGACTAGGATTATTATGACGCACAGTTGAACAGTGATTAGCTGTTTGTGATATGTAGGACATTTGAGCGCTACCCCTGTGATTAAAGAAACGTGGTCCAAAGGAGTGTCTCGTGCGATGCAACCTAGGGTTGTCATGGTATGCATTTCTGAAAGGAGTTTGACAGGAAACTTGCCTTTTGGGTTTGTGTATTGACAGTGTCTTAGATATGAAATATTCTTCTCCGTCCTTAGAAAACACGCGCCTGAAATTATCCTTCTTCAAGAAAGTTTCCGCTTTATATGGTGAGGTTTCGCCTGAGCATCTGAGTTTTCTGTCACCCAGCGGGCTTCTGTTTATGGTAACTTTAGGGAAGACGGTACAAACAGTTTTCTTTTCACGAGCAACTGAAGGATCAGGTTCACTTGTAGCTAGATTTGATTGAGACCGCTGTACCGAGGAGAAGGTACATTCAGCAGAATTACTGGCTGTGTCAACACTTTATGACGGTCTTTTCGTACGCATAACAGCCTCTTTGTTTAAAGGTGATGAGCTGGTCAGACTACTTTTTTTTCTGCGTTGGCACGCGGTTTTGTCTTGTGCAACAGCGATATTTTTAAAGCCGTAACCGTATGTGACCTTGTAGTTTAATAAATCTTTTGGGGCCAAATGAAGTAGTGAACTTGAAAATCAAGAGGCAACTGGACTGCGCGGACATTTTGCGGAGACGCTTACAGTCACAGTGTATTCCTGTCATACCGAATGAGTTTAATGCCTTTGCCTAACTACATCCAAGGATAGGGTATCAGGTATGTTATAAACGCTCGCCTGTTGAGACGACGACAGCTTCGTTGCAACCCGGAGAAATAAAGATTTCAAACTGAGAATAGTGATTCATGACAAAAGCTTAGTTGAAAAAATAAAACCAAATATTGAATTAAAGTATAAACGATCATAAACATTTTATTTCAAATGGGCGGTAAATCGATAGCGCTGAACATGAAGTAATTCGGCAACTATTTCAACACTACGCTTCTCGTGCCACAAACATTTATCAACCTGATTCAACAACTATTTGCTATATGATGATGACACATGCTAAGTGATTCACAATACAAACCTCAGTGATAACTTTGAAGTCAAGACAGGTGTAAGACAAGGCTGCAGCCTACTACACCATCAATGATCTTCCTCATTGTGATCCACTGGATCATGCAACAAACTGTCAGCAGTGACAAGATGTGCATACGCTCTTTCATCGATGAAAAGACCCTAGAAAATTTGCATTTCCCCGACCACGATTTATGTCTAATGTCTCGACGCACAAAGTCGAAGATCTACAGACGAAAACCGACAAGTTGGTGGAAGAGGCAGGGCAGCGAAGACGGCACTTCCTTCACGTGAACGTAGAGAAGACAGAGGTGATGAAGATACCCAACCAACAACAACAAGCATCAATCATCATCAACGCGAGAAATCTAAAGGAAGTAGTCTCTTCCACCTACCTGCCTAGGCACCATCCTTCCAACCACAGGCGGCTCAGGCACACATGACGATGTTAAAACCAGGAACGAAAACACAGCGAGACAGCCCCTCCTGCATTCATCTCATATCAGTGTACAGATCTACTCACTCCACTCCACTCCACTCAGCATAAAGCGTGAACAACATCCGGATTTCCAACACCAACGTCAAGTCAGTGCTTCTGTGTGATGGTTGACAGACTTGGTGGTGCACTACGAAAAGCATCTTCAACAAACTACACACATACATTATCAACAACTGCCACCTACGCTCACTCGACACCGACACTGAAGATCAGATAGGAGGGCCACAAAGAATAAGTAACAAGGAACTCATTGTGGCTGGCTGGCTAGCTGGCTGGCAACGAACCAATCAAGAACTTACCACCCAGCAAATATGCACAGGTCCTCGATTGGAACCCGAAGGGGAAATGACGAGTTGGGCGTCCGAGGCGAGGGTGACATGGAGGAGATCATGTGAAGAAGAAATGAAAGCTTGTGGCGTGCGTACTGCTGAGGAGTTCCATACTAGGACGAAGCAGATGTCCAGTGCTCCCAGACTTTAAATGGTTCGCCAACTGATTGTAGTCCATGATGAATACTACTTCTAAATTAAAAATCGTCATTCATCTCCAAAATAAATAATTTATGAGTTTAATGGATAGTTTATTTTGTGACTTGCTATCTGACATATATAGATAATCCAAAGGACCACAAATACGTAGTACTTGTATTTACATCTCAAGAAGTAAAGATTTAAAATGTGTTTCATTTACAAGTAATACTCTATTAGCAGGTTTGTGGGGATTTATTAATTGATTTCAGGTTGGAATTCATCATGGACTGACATTAGTTGGAGAAACATTGGAAACATGGGAGTACTGTTTCGTCTTAGTACGGGACTTTTAATCAGTGCTCACCAGTGGCCTGGCCTCACCAGGGCTCGAGTCCAGGACCCTTAGGTTCCATGGCCGACATATTGCCATTAAGCCACTGAGTCGGAGTCCAATTATCCGTATTTCCTACTTCTGTCAGATCACATCGATGACGAATTCCACCTGAAAATTAATTAATAAATAGCAAGGAATCTCCAGATAGAATTAATCTAGCACTCAGTGGTAACTAGCTTCGACTGGTGATTCCCGAAGTTTCAATGAGAAGTCGTGACCAGTGGAGTCAACGAAGTCGAAAATGAGGACAGTTACTCAACGACAACATTTGGTGTAAGGCGTGAGATACCGTGAACTGACGGAAGTAGAAAATATAAACCATTGGATTGCAACCCAGTAGCTCAATGGTGAAGTGCTGGCCACGGCTCCTGAAAGTCATGGGTTCGATTCCTGGCATGGCGGGGCTGTGGTCGCAGACTGCTGAGGAGTCCCATAATAGTGGGACGAAACAGGTGTCCAGTGCTTCCAGGTTTTCAATGTCCTTCTAACTGATATAAGTCCATGATGAACTTCAACTAAAATCAATTAAAAGTATTACTTTTTTTAAAAAAACATTTAAAACACGTAACTTTCAACGAGTCAATTAAAAGTGATTTATGCGTAGGTTGGTAATAGAAGCTTATTTTGTTCAGAAGTCAATAGATAATAATTGAAATGAGTAAAGAAATTTAGAATCTAAAAAGGAGTATATCAATAATGAAATAACCTATTTTATACTATGACAGTAACTTAGCAGTAAATATGTCTGGGAGATACGAAAGTTCACAAACTGTAATGAATATCCGTTTCCCATAAATATGACTGTTAGAAATCTCCTATCATCTCATCCATTGTATCAGACGTACAAATACGTTAAATTCTATTCAATAAGCATCTTATTAAGCCTGTCTTAGATTTCATTGGATAAAAGCTGTAGAAACTCAAGTACTGTCCAAGTAGGCTTTCTGTAGATTGATAGTCTGATAGATCCGCCTAATTGGACAGGACATTACTTGAGTTTCTACAGTTTTTATCCAATGGAATATAAGACAGGCTTAATAAGATACTTATTGAATAAAATCCAACGTATTTGTACATCTGATACAATGAATGAGAAAAGAGGAAATTTTTAACAGACACACTTATGGAAAATGGATATCCATCACAGTTTGTGAACTGTTATAGAAAACAGCTAACCCTGAAGCTTATAATATAAAAAAAGTCTTAAAAATATACATCTATGTAATTTTAAAACTGGAAAATGTTAAACACACTGAGATAAGAAGAACCAATAAAAGTATAATGAATAAAAAGTAGATATATTTAAAGACAAAAACTTATATATGAATGTGATATGCATAATAAAACAAATCATTATAATATGTACAATACTTTAAACTATAAAGTAGCGTAAAATATAAATTAGAAAGTTGTTATGATTAACATTTTTATTCGATGTGTTTTTTTCGTCAAAAAAAGCAAAAATAAAAATAAAGAAATAGCTGATGAAGTTTTCGAAATATACATTCTTTTAAAAGCAACAAAATTATATAATATATTAACCAAAAAGTTGAGTGAAACATTGATGACAATACGGTTTACCTGAATGTTCTTTAAATGTACCCGTTTGTAATGGATGTAAACAATAAGCACATAAAAAGTGTTCTGGATGATAACGTTTACCAAGTGCATTAACACATCGTCCAGTTATTGGTGATGAGCATGCAATGCATAATAGACCACGTCTAGTGTAATAATGTGAATTACAATAAGCATATCCATCAACTTCATGAAAATTGGATCCAGTTAGTACTTTATTACAATCCTATTTCATAAATAAAAAATTGAATATACAAAATGATTCATTAAACGATATAATTTCAAGATTACACTTATTTGTATTTCTTCTCATCATTCGTACATCAAAGTAACCAATCAATATTTACGGAATTTCGATAGAGTAAAAGAAATAATTTCCTAATATTCACAGACTTCATAGAAGTTGTTACTTAATGGAATAAGCCACATGATGCTAAATACCATTCATCATTAATCTATAATTCAAACACTGGCAATATCGAGGCGTTTTTACACGAGCGCATATACCAGTAGAGATCGACCAATTCGGTCTTTGTAAGAACTGAGGTGGAATCATGCTGCTGTCTACCCCAAGCAAAATATTAGGCCGTATCATCCTGGAGAGACTAAATTTCAATGCTCTGGATTCAAAATTACAACCAGAACAGACTAGCTGGCTTCAAGAACAATAAATCATTTGTGGATCAAATTACAATGCTACGCTATGCGTCATCATAGAACGGAGTGCAGAGTGGCAGTCAACACTTCACCTAAATTTCATCAATTTTGAAAAGGCGTTCGATAGTGCCGACCAGGAAGTAATTCGGCAACTATTTCAACACTACGCTTCTCGTGCCACAAACATTTATCAACCTGATTCAACAACTATTTGCTATATGATGATGACACATGCTAAGTGATTCACAATACAAACCTCAGTGATAACTTTGAAGTCAAGACAGGTGTAAGACAAGGCTGCAGCCTACTACACCATCAATGATCTTCCTCATTGTGATCCACTGGATCATGCAACAAACTGTCAGCAGTGACAAGATGTGCATACGCTCTTTCATCGATGAAAAGACCCTAGAAAATTTGCATTTCCCCGACCACGATTTATGTCTAATGTCTCGACGCACAAAGTCGAAGATCTACAGACGAAAACCGACAAGTTGGTGGAAGAGGCAGGGCAGCGAAGACGGCACTTCCTTCACGTGAACGTAGAGAAGACAGAGGTGATGAAGATACCCAACCAACAACAACAAGCATCAATCATCATCAACGCGAGAAATCTAAAGGAAGTAGTCTCTTCCACCTACCTGCCTAGGCACCATCCTTCCAACCACAGGCGGCTCAGGCACACATGACGATGTTAAAACCAGGAACGAAAACACAGCGAGACAGCCCCTCCTGCATTCATCTCATATCAGTGTACAGATCTACTCCACTCCACTCCACTCCACTCAGCATAAAGCGTGAACAACATCCGGATTTCCAACACCAACGTCAAGTCAGTGCTTCTGTGTGATGGTTGACAGACTTGGTGGTGCACTACGAAAAGCATCTTCAACAAACTACACACATACATTATCAACAACTGCCACCTACGCTCACTCGACACCGACACTGAAGATCAGATAGGAGGGCCACAAAGAATAAGTAACAAGGAACTCATTGTGGCTGGCTGGCTAGCTGGCTGGCAACGAACCAATCAAGAACTTACCACCCAGCAAATATGCACAAGAAAGTGGAGGTGGGTTAGGAATGCACTGAGACGACTATTCGGAGACATCACGCACCAGGCCAGGTCCTCGAGTGGAACCTGAAGGGGAAATGACGAGTTGGGCGTCCGAGGCGAGGGTGACATGGAGGAGATCATGTGAAGAAGAAATGAAAGCTTGTGGGCAGTCGTGTAGCCAGGTTCAAAAGACTGCAAGGAAGAGAGTGCAATACAGGCGTGCTACTGAAGTCTTTCGTTCTACTAGGAACCCATGGGATAAATAATAATAATAAATAATTTGGTCCACTCAACGATGGGTTAATACAAACGACAGCACAGTCAATCCATTAACCGGAAGAAGTCATTCTGTACATTTTCAACCTTCTCAACATAAAGTTTCTAGTTTTTGAAGATGATGTGAACCACTATGGTGGAATGCATTTTAAACTTTCTCAACCATATGTAAGAGACAGTTATGTATAACTTTCAGGTTGTTACCTGCAAATGAGGATTTCGTAAGACGATTCGCTGATGTAACAGACATAGCAGTCAAGATTTTGTTTACAAGCGAAGGACTTTCTATTCTTTATGTTAAGTCCAGAATGTTTTAGTGTTGCTTGTTCTGTAAGAATCTTTAGTTCAGTGTTTCTCAAACCTTAGTACACGAATAGAACTTGGTCACTGTGGTAGAATTTAATTCAATATTACATATGTTTGTTTGACACAGCCAGCACACAGTGATACAGTATTGTTTAATTGATGACGTTTCCAGCACATATTATCATTGCTCATAACCATATCATTAGAATCACTCTCCTTTCGATATCTGACTTTTATAGTGGTGTCACCTGACATTCTTTGTTTTTATTGGTAGTAAGATTTCCCATTTCTATGCCACAGGTGTTGCGTCACTTCCATTACATGTGTTGGGTGTTGACTCCATAAAAAAAGACTAATCAGTAATCAATCTTTCTCTTCACCTAAGATATCGATTAATGAAATCATATAGGTGTACAGTTGTACATGATCTCCACAGTCTTCAACTTTCAGGACAAAATATACAGATAAACACAAGGAGTAAGAATGCAATCGCCAATATCCCCAATCGTAGCAGATATTTTTATGGACAGTTGGAAAAACATAACTTTACAGACGTTTAATCATGCACCAAAGATATGGTAGCGATATGTGGATGACATATTTACTCTGTTGAAATCGGGACATATCGACAGTTTCCTTACACACATTCACTCATTAGTGGACGCAATCCAATTCACTAACGGAGAAGAAAATCAACGGGAGTCCCAAAGAGGACAAAACGAGAATCCTGGATTCTACTGTTAGCAACTATCCATCATCATAGTTAAGAACATAGGCAATATCGAGGCATCCGCTTAGGAGCCCACATGCCAACAGGGACTGATCAATTCGGTCCATTCAACGACGGCGTAATAAAAGCAATAACATAAGAATTACCAATGTTGGATTGGACAATAAAATGAAGGATAGACAGCGGTTTCCATACTATCTTCAGAAAATAGATATATTCCAACAGGTATCTAAACTTCAAGTCATCTCATCCAATGTCAGTTGAGGCAAGTCTAGTCAAATATCTTAATGATAGAACTAGAAACCTGACTAGTCAATACAGGGACCTAAACAACAGATTGAAGCACGTAAAAGAAGCGTTAGTCGGTAATAATTATCCTCTGCAGTTCATTAACAAATTCATATGAACACACAAGAAACGAAATAATAACAGTAACACAAGTACGAATAATAACGACAACACAAATAGAAAGGAGTTTAAAGCTCTATTGTGTTAGCACATAAGAAGGTACATCACAAACTTTACATAGGATTCTCAACAAAGTTGGAATTGAAGTGGCATTTAAGCCTACAAACTCACTCGGGCATAAGCTTTGTCGGCTGGCTTTCGGGTCCGATGGAACCAACTAACCAAAATAATTTATGATTTGACTATCTAAGATAGCCGTAGTTTGGCAGACTAGTATTTGTACTGGGTGATGATTGAAGGTGAGATGAAAACCCGGCCGCGGTCCAGTCTGGAGTAGTGTCCGCCAACGTAACACGCTCACGAATGTTCGAGTAGAGAGCCTCCAAGAGAATAATCTCAGTCGCAAGAGTCGATGAAGGTTCATGACCTCATCTACAGACTTTTCTTCGCCTTAAGGCTCTATCCCTGGTCTCTGCGTTACTAGTTGATTGTAAGGATTAACTCTGACCACGTTCGATGATTGATTGAAGTAACTTTGTTGGATAACACTTAAATCCAAGAAGTGTAACGTGTCCATACTTTCCTTTTCCAACACGAATCTTATACTACTCAGAAACAATGTCAAACATTGCAAGACAGAAATCAAAGTCACAACCTTACTAAATAAAAAATTAAGGTAAAAAGTTAATGAAACTTACGTGACAAGTGAAACAGTCCTTATGCCAAGGCATATTCAATGCAGTAATATATGCATCTGTAATAGGCTGCTTACAACCAGAACATGGTGTCCCAAAACGTATGAAATAACAGTTTCTAAAAGAAGAAGATGGATCATTATTCAGTGAAAACAATTGTGTACATTTCAGGACTCTTAACATCCGTTTAATTCAGATAAGACACCATGAAGGCACTCTCTATGTGAATTCAATTCCATGAAAGGAATACATTTTCAGAATTCATGAACTGCATAGCACTTAATCAAATCCTGATTACTACCTTTTGAACGTATGAACTTCCTAATGAAAGTTGATGAAGAAAGAGAAAACCGATTTTTCACATTATTTTCTTTGTAATTGTCTATTTTCAATCAATCACTGAAGTTGAAAACTGTGAACCATTGAACTCTGACCCAGTGGATAGAATGGTTAACGTGTTAGCCGTCAGTGTCCTGAATTCGATGCCTAGCTAGGTTGTGGCTGCATGCTGCTGAGGAGTCCCATATTAGGACGAAACAGCTGTCCAATACTACCAGGTTCTCAATGTTTCTCTAACTGATGTCAATCTGTGGTGAAAAATACCTTAAAATTGACCACTGCGTTGAGTTGAATCTGTTTTGATGTGTATTGTTAAAGATGCGTTGTTAACCTGTCAATTTATTGATCATGGAAGATGATTCGATCACCTAGTAAGTTTACAAGTTGACATCTCGAAAAAAGCTTTTGTGTTTAGCAACGAGGAATTGTGAGAAACTGTTGAAATATTCTACCCAGTACTGTCGGGGTGGTTGGTGAGCATGTTAACCGATGAGGTAAACTACAATGGATGATGATTTTTAAACCTCATGAATTTATGAAAGGAAAATAATCAATTCTATGATGTACTGCAATTAACCACCATCAGTATACAACACCAGATTACACGTTTCCATTAAAAAACGAGTTATCCGTGTGTAGAACAGTGAGTGAAGTAATCTTGACGAAGAATCTCTGATGAAGGTGAGTATGGATCTCATCAAAAAAAAGAGGTTACAAATTAATAACTTCATACATTGATAAATATTGTGAAGCACACAACTATTCGAAACAGTCTACTAGTATATATTTACATAGGCTGTGTGAAACTACTGCTGACACATGTGTTGCCAGGAAACCCGTAAGTGAGAAATTAAACTCATTAGTAGATTCAAACATTTCGCGCCAAGACAAAACAAATAATTAGTCCTCCTCATGTTTCATAAATACTTTAGGCGATATCACACGTAAACTAACTGTAAAAGCCTGAAATCTAAACAGTCCATGATGGATCTTCGCAAAAGCTATGTACTTAAGAAGGCAATAGAAATATCAGTAACACAGGTCATAGTGCAACGGGAAGCACATGCAAATGAAACACATAACACGTCCACATATTTGAAGGTGATATTCAGCATACAGTGACGTTCGTTGGAGAACAACCCGGAACGTGTGAGCATTGGATAGGTGTTACGTCCTACCGTAGGACTTCCCCCAAGCATCAAAATTAAGCCCTTTGGGTTCCACCACAAACATATTACCTTTTAGCCAGTGGGTCGGGATCCAATGGTTCATAGTTTCCAATTTGTGTCAATTCACGACACACCGTAACTTTCATCCACTGATATCCTTAAGCACCTATCCTTAAGTTGTGACTCGCGGTACAAAACCAAGTCAGATGTGAGGACAAAGGGTCAACGATAATCCCTGGATGAAAGTGATGCTAAACGTTCTAAGTTCCACTCCTAGGAGGTCATGGGTGTGCAATACTGAGAAGTTCCATGGGGGGACGAAACAGCTTTCCAATTTCCTCACGTCTCCGATGGTTCCTCAACTAACATCAGTATGTGATGAACACTAACATGAAATAAACATATGTTGTTATACTTTTTGGTTCTTTTCGTTGGATTAATCTTTATTTACTGGTGAAGTGTCGAATAAGGTTAATTATAAAACATATCAAGTATAAATGTGACAAAAATATGCTAATATACAAATAAACAGAAAAGAATCTTTCAAGTTGTTATTCATCGAAGACTGACATCAGTTGGAGGAACGAAGGAAAGGTGGGAGCACTGGACAGCTGTTTCGTCCTAGTATGGGACTCCTCAGCAGTGCGCACCCACGACCCCACCAGCAGGGATCGAACCCGCGACCTCCAGGTTCCGCAACCAATATTTCCAAATCTCCACAACCCCCTCAAAAAATTTAATTGAACTAGTGCTCGTTGGTGACTAGCTTCGAGAAGTATTCCCGAAGTTCCAATGACAAGTCGTGACCGGTGGAGTCAAAGCCTGATGGTCGTGAGGACAAATACTCAAAGATGACATTGGGTGGCGGTTTGCGCTATATCGTGAGCTAACAGAAGTTGGAAATATGGAGCATTGGATTCTGACCCAGTGGCTCAATGGTAACGCGCTGGTCGCGGAACCTGAAGGTCGCGGATTCGATCCCTGTTGGTGGGGTTGTGGGCGCGCACTGCTGAGGAGTCCTATACTAGGACGAAACAGCTGTCTAGTGCTCCCAGGTTTCCTTCGTTCCTCCAACTGATGTCAGTCTTCGATGAATAACAACTTGAAATATTTCAAATCTCCACAACCCCCTCAAAATTTAAGAAAAGAATCTGTCAAATTTGATCTCTAAACAATGGGGAAAAAAAAGAAAGAACGCCTAATATAACATGATTTTAATGAGTTTTTCCCTTCAACTTACTTTCAACACCTCAAAGGTTTAAATTTATCAAACTGTTATATATGTTAACAATAGTATAAAAAATAAAAAAACTGAATAAACGAGATAGTCAGCTACAAAACTGAATCAAATAGCAACTATCTACAGTGGGATCGAAATATTGAATGTCAAATCTAAATAGAATGAACTACTCAAACCTATGTGAGGCCTTTTATACACATTTTCATCGACTTCTGAAGCAAAAAAAGTATTCAGCAGGTGGTAATAATGTATTTGATACTTATAACACACAGTGATACAGTATTGTTTAATTGATGACGTTTCCAGCACATATTATCATTGCTCATAACCATATCATTAGAATCACTCTCCTTTCGATATCTGACTTTTATAGTGGTGTCACCTGACATTCTTTGTTTTTATTGGTAGTAAGATTTCCCATTTCTATGCCACAGGTGTTGCGTCACTTCCATTACATGTGTTGGGTGTTGACTCCATAAAAAAAGACTAATCAGTAATCAATCTTTCTCTTCACCTAAGATATCGATTAATGAAATCATATAGGTGTACAGTTGTACATGATCTCCACAGTCTTCAACTTTCAGGACAAAATATACAGATAAACACAAGGAGTAAGAATGCAATCGCCAATATCCCCAATCGTAGCAGATATTTTTATGGACAGTTGGAAAAACATAACTTTACAGACGTTTAATCATGCACCAAAGATATGGTAGCGATATGTGGATGACATATTTACTCTGTTGAAATCGGGACATATCGACAGTTTCCTTACACACATTCACTCATTAGTGGACGCAATCCAATTCACTAACGGAGAAGAAAATCAACGGGGAGTCCCAAAGAGGACAAAACGAGAATCCTGGATTCTACTGTTAGCAACTATCCATCATCATAGTTAAGAACATAGGCAATATCGAGGCATCCGCTTAGGAGCCCACATGCCAACAGGGACTGATCAATTCGGTCCATTCAACGACGGCGTAATAAAAGCAATAACATAAGAATTACCAATGTTGGATTGGACAATAAAATGAAGGATAGACAGCGGTTTCCATACTATCTTCAGAAAATAGATATATTCCAACAGGTATCTAAACTTCAAGTCATCTCATCCAATGTCAGTTGAGGCAAGTCTAGTCAAATATCTTAATGATAGAACTAGAAACCTGACTAGTCAATACAGGGACCTAAACAACAAATTGAAGCACGTAAAAGAAGCGTTAGTCGGTAATAATTATCATCTGCAGTTCATTAACAAATTCATATGAACACACAAGAAACGAAATAATAACAGTAACACAAGTACGAATAATAACGACAACACAAATAGAAAGTAGTTTAAAGCTTCTATTGTGTTAGCACATAAAGAAGGTACATCACAAACTTTACATAGGATTCTCAACAAAGTTGGAATTGAAGTGGCATTTAAGCCTACAAACTCACTCGGACATAAGCTTTGTCGGCTGGCTTAAGGAGCCGGTAGAAACAATTGAGCAAAATAATCTAATCTTCCGAATTCCATGTGATGACTCCGAGGTCAGGTACACAGGTCAAACTAGCGGGTCGGAGTCAATTAGAATAACCGAATATAGCAATTTAGCTAGATATCGAATGAGAGACCCAAATAAGATCAACAATCCAGTAAAACACTCGGCTATTGCAATGCATGCATTAACACTCAGTCACACAATAGGGTGGGCTAAATTCACTGCAATTAAGTCCAATACAATTAGGTGGGGACAGAAACTGACTACTGGATAATCTTTCTTCATCAAAGCAACACCCAACTTAACACGTAATAGGAATCATGCAATACCTATACCACAGATATGGAAAGTTTTACTATCAATGAAAACAAAGAATAAGAGGTGACAGGACTATAAAAATCAGAAAGCGGTGTGGTTACATTGATATGATTATGAGCAATGATAATTTATGCTTGAAGTGTCGTTATAAAGTAAATAATACTGTACAACTGTGTGTTATCAATCAAATGAACAAATCCAATATGGAATTGAATTCTACTACAGTGCATAAGTTTTACACTTATATTAATGGTAGTGAAAGTGAATAAATCCAGATCCCTTGAGTAACTCTATTCACATTAATACATTGTTTGCGCATTCTTAATAAAAATCATCACCTACAAGATTGTTATGGTTTCGAAGCGCTAATGGTATATGTATGTATTCCAGAACGAATATAATACGCACGCTTAGCTGACAGCTAACTTGATACGCAAGAGACACTGACTGCAACCCCGGGACGAATAGAGAGAAGACAGAAGCTGGCAGATGGGAGAGTGTAATACTCCGAGAATATGATAAAATAACAATGTTTTATACAAGACTGGGGCATCACAACAAAGATGCAATCAGAGAGAAAGAACTAGTCAGTGTTCCATTATACATACAATAATGGAATTCAAAAACAGATGATAATATGGTAGGTATCACGCATATCAATAAGTAAATCACCTATAAATTATCACTTGAAGACAGTAAATTTATCCATTGCCAACGGGAAATTGGCGTTTACCGTCAATGTATATAAAAAATGAAAAAAATGTAGACATTTTAATATCTATAAGATTCTGAACGAAACTTACGAACAATATAGTTTTCCATTTTGTTCATGTACCGTTAATGATCCATTGAAAGTAGAATGACATTCATAACAAAAGAAGTGTTCGGGGTGCCAAGCACGTGCCAGAGCTAAAACACATTTCTAGAAAGAAAAAAAAGGGGGGTAAGAAAGAATATCACCAGCAGATTTAATCTTATAAAAATTTGAAAAGTACATGATGTAAAGAATACTTCATCACAAGTATTCGTTGACACTAACGTCTTCGGGACGTATTAATTTAACAACATTTAACTGAGAGAATGTGAATACACTCCCATTCATGTACACATTACGTCAATAATCTACAAATCTTAAACATTTTCTATATCACCCAAGTGGACCCATTCAAATCGTTTACAGATTGTTTCAGCTGATGAAAACATCTACAGTATACTGAAGTTCACCAGTCAGTCTATATATATATATACGCTCGTTACTGAAGATCAGATGGCCAGAAATAATAAGCAACAAGGAACTCTGACAACGAGCCAACCAAGAATCTATCGCTCAACAAATATGCAGAAGGAAGTGGAGATGGATTGGGCATACACTGAGAAGAACATTCGTAGACATCACGCTCTAGGCACTCGAGTGGAACCCAGATGGGAAACGACGAGTTGAGCGTCTGAGGGTGACATGAAGGAGATTGTATGAGGAAGAAATGAGAGCTTCTGGGCTGTCTTGTAGCCAGGTTCAAAAGATTGCAGAGAACAGAGTGAAATGGAGATGTGCTACTGAAGCCATATGTTCCACTGGAACCCAAGGGACAAGTAATGTAATTATATATATATATATATATATATATATATATATATATATATATATATGCGTAAGCTTAACATCAAAACTAAGAAGCACTTTTTTAGTTGAGGAGCCCCATAAAATTTTCATGTATTCACTCCTAAAGTTATTTATTACTTCAAACAGATTTTGAAAAAGAATATTTCAAAGAAGAAGAAGAAAAGATTTCCACGAGGTCTTGAAACGTCAGAAATTTATTTATAATCCATTTATTCAATGCTTAACGTATTCAACTCAATTCTGAAGTCGATAAAAGTCGTTCATTTGTCAATATTTTTTTTATTACTATGAATATTACAGATATATTAATAACAAAGTTAGCATAGTGGAAAATATGCATGAACTAATAACACGCTAAGGATGAAAATATCCTATAATCTGAAAACGCTGGTACACATATTACAGTGAAACTTTGTTTTTGAAAAGTTAACTTACAAGTTCAAACAAATATGAAAGAAAACTTTCTTAAACTTCTCCTCAAGTTTCTATGAATCAGTTTTAACATTTTACTAATTTTTTTCTTCTTTATAAATAGCGTTCTTCTCAAATGAACACACTGAACACATTTAGATGATTAATGATGGTTAGCGGTGGAATCCAGGACGGGCGTTTCGTCCTATTTAGGATCCATTAACTTGGTGTACCTGCCTTCCAGTGAGTGATTTTGTTGCTCACCAAGACTGTAACTCAGTTCTCACCGCTTCAAACGCCACTCAGTCACAATACCCACTCCTTGTGCAATCAGTATAGCCTTGTTTAGGCATTATGGTGGATCAATCCGGTTCAATCAACGACAGAAAATTACAAACCATAGTATCTGAGTACTTAAATCATGTTTGGCTAAAACTGTATAAAAATTGTTTACCATGACCTAATATATACAGAATGTTCTGGTTGGTATAAGATTAATGGATACATTGTTTACAGTTGGTCAAATCAAATACGGCTATGAGTATTCAGCTTTCACATTCATTGACATATTCTAGTCATTCACATCATAGTCTTCACATTATGTCCTGTGTTACGCGTTTGGAGTCAATCAACACGAAGATCTGAACCAAGGTTTTGTGTTTGTTGGCATTCATTAACAAAGCGTGTCTGCGACTGTGAGGAAACTGATGTCCCGTCAAGTCAGTGTTGCTCAGTGTTGAATGCAGAGACTTTACTTCTAAGTTATTTGAATCACTCAATTCAGTGGTGCCATTATGAATTCGATTGATAAACTCCGACCAGCACGGAAGTAACTATGAGCGCCCCACCATAGTTACAAGCTAAGGCATAAACGTGAAGCTCTCTACAGCACCATTGAGCACCATGGATGTTTGAGGTGCACACCAGAGAAACCGGAGATGATACGTCCACTAGTGATTGCTGGTCTAACCTGGTTACTCAACGACGGTGAGCCTCCTCATGGCCCCGCTGGGTTTCAATCAGTAAAACCATCATAGTTTTATTTAATATGAATAGGATTCGATGAAATTCATATACCTTGTTCGGTAGCACGAGTTCCCAAGACATAGTTGGGCTAGCTGAGCCTTAGGATTCCACCTAGTGCGCTGGGGGCGGTGCATTCGAAAGGTGAGGGAATCCAGTTACGTAATTCCGGTAGTCGTTGTTTCTGATGGAGATCCTGGAGAGGTGGTGTGTTCAGCCTTGTGAACGTGGGCTGTGTTTGTACCAAGAATGTTGGGTATCATTCCACTGTAGCCTTGGCCTCTCAAAAGTAACCTGGGAGCAGCCACCTTTTGTGAAATGTTGGTGAGAGGCGGATAATATTCGGAGCAGGTGAGCTGCATCTCTTTTGCAAGATCGTGGAGACTCAGTAAGATGCATTACATGCACATCCGCCCACGGGGAAGTGATTGCAGTAAAAGGATCCGATTGCCCGGAGAATTTTGATGCACTGAAGCCTGACAGTGGAGAGGGTTTTGAGATCCACAGATCAGTTTTGGGAAAGCGTTAACAACGTACTCTGGCGGGAGTGTTCTTTTTTATGTGGTTGTGTCTCTATGATGTTTCCTGCTCGGTGAAGATACCGACCCCCCAGGTTTTTGGATAATGACGTCTAAGCAAACGAGGTCTGGTTTGGGACTGAGAGCTAGGTCGAAAATTAGAGTGAAAGTATCTCGATCAGTACTGGACAGTAAGAACTAAGCTGTTACACCGGTTGCTTATCAGTGATTAATTCAAACTGTGGAGTTCCATAATCTTGTCGTTCTCCGAACAATATCTTCGTTGGACAATAATGGGAATAAAATTCAGAGTGTGGCAGCAAGAAATCGTAGACATGGCCCTACAGTAGTAATCAAAAATAGCCTAGACATTAGTTTACATTACAGTGCCTTGCACAATGAACTAATTCAGGTTGCATAATAGGCTACAAACCTGTTATATACATCTCTGTTAGCTTAGAAAAGCTTTCGATCAAAGTAAAATTTATTACTTCATATATGTGTAATATGCTTCTCATTATTGGGGTGCTTTCTCAAGAAACATTTCTAGAACTTACTCCTACCAAATGAGTAAACGTTTGTTCAACATTTCTTTTAGAGCATTTTACAGTTACTACATTAGTAATACAAAATACAGTTGTATGAGGCAAAGACTTAAAGTCATAAATAAAAAAATTACTGGGTACATCAAACCTTTTCACACAACGGACAGCAAATAAAATGTAAGTATAAAAAATGTAGTTTTCAAACAATTACTAAGCTACTGCTTAGCTTAGGTGACCACTGAGCTGATATCTTATTGCTAGGACAAAAATTTCAAAAAATAGTTAAAAGTACGATTGTAGAAAGAGACCAACCAACAAATGTTTAGCTAACTAAAATATACTACTTTTCTGAATTCAGTAGCACGAAGCTTTACCGACATTTATCTCAGGATAGCTATTTCCTATGACTGATGAAAAGCCTACTGATACACGCATAAATGAATTTAATCGTTATTCTGTGCATGTATGACGGATTGTAAAAATGACGGTGAACAAACAGACGGAAAGAACTACTTTTCAGTCACCATATATATATATATATCGTCATACAAGACATCAAGAAATAAAAAATGTTATGAAAAGATAATCATCGATATTTTCAAAACGCAAATTTAAGTCTACTAATCAGACTATGAAAACAGGCTAATATCTGCTTGCATTGATTAAATGGAATATAATAGGCCAAACCAATAGTTTAAATGCTGAATGTTTTTATAGTTCATTTGAATGAAAGTGCTTTATCTGACTCAACTGACCAACCAATAATATTCAGGCAATATTGAGGCATCCACATAGGAGTCCATATACAAATAGAGGTCGAACTATTCGATCCAACAAAACAACGGAGAATTAAAAGTATTCTAATAAATAGTAATAACTACTACCCGTTCCACAGCAGTGCTCGATGGCTAGATGAGGAAAGAGCAGGTCCTTGGGTTTCATCCCTGGTGAGGTCATGGGCGTTTACTGCTGAGGAGTCCCATACTACGACGAAACAGCTGCCCAGTACTCCCAGGTTTCCAATGTTCCTTCGAACAATGTCAGTCCATGATGAATACCAACCTACTATCTCGATTCCTGAATTGGAGGGTTGCAGTTTTTGCTGGGTTCTGGCCTTATTTGAGAACAATATCACTCACTGGGAGGCAGGTACATCCATCCGGCTGACGAGTACCAAATAGGAAGAAACATGCGTCCTGGATTCCACGTCTAGCCATAATCCATTATTAATGGAAGAGATATCAAATAAAAATAACTGAGAAAACGGTTCACTACATTTCTTCGCAAACTTACTTGGCTTTATTGTTTCATCAATGTGCAATTAAACGGCTTTATTTCAGATCTATTATTCAATTAATGCCTATCTATGAATGAACTTCTGAATATGTATACCGATTAAGGTTGAATTTTATCAAAGTTGGAAAGTAATTAAATCTGATAATAACATTCACCAGTTAGAAACAAAACTCATTACATTAGAAAGAATGATAAGTATTCATCTTTTTACGTTACATTTAGATACAAATTAAACAACATAATCAATAATTTTAACAAAGATTATATTCTTTATTTGACGGAAGTGTTTAATATTTAACCCACAAAATACATAGAAATACGCACGAATAAACTAATAGACAATGAAACATTGAACCATTTTATTAAGACCACATTTGATAAATGTTTTTTCCTAAAAAAGAAAGCGAGAATCGAAAGTAATAAAAGTTCAGACTTGATTTATAGCCTACGATTAGTTAACTTCAGTTTATCTAACCATCTTACATTAGCCGGTAAAAGTATATGAAGTCAAGAGATTGATTATCTATCCAAAAGAAGAAGTATGAACTAACTGAAGCATATATTTGTGCAGTAAAACATTACACAAGTTTAGTCATATTTCAAGTTAAAGTAATGGATGTTTCGTAAGAGTTTCAACAGAAATATTTACTCAGTTTGGACGTCTACGGGGGATTTATTGACATCAGCTGGAGAAACACTGGAAACCTGGGAGCACTGGAGAGCTCTCATCTCACTAGTAAGGGACAGCTGAGAAGTGCGAACCAATGACCGCACCAGGAATAGAACTCAGAACCTTCCTCCAAACTAAATTTACTGTTCAGTATTCACCAGTGACTTGTTTCAAGATGAGATTTCCCTAAGTTCTAATGAGAAGTAGTGACCAGTGGGGTAATCCAAGTCGGACGTGAAAACAGTTACTCAACAACCGCATTGAATGAATATCGCGCTATATCACAAACTAACAGAAGTAGGAAAATGTGGACCATTGAATTCCGACCCACCGGCTCAGTGGCAGCGTGATCGCCTCGGAAATTAAATGTCCCGCGTCTGGTCCCTGACGGGTTAGGATCAAAACGAACAAGTGATCATGAGTTTGTAGTGCACCTTCGTGGTGGAAAAATGCAAATAGGGTCAAATAAATAGATCAAATTGAATGAACTAAATATTAACTAAATAACCTAACTCACCTCCGGATTTTTAAGATGTTTTAAGTTTTGTTTTAACAAGGATGGATCCGAGCAGGCTTCGCTGCCATTTTGAGCTCCCTTTGTGTCGGCTAACACGCACATCTTCAGAGTCCCTAGCTCAGCTATATTAGCCAGATGAGTTGAATAAACTTTTACTCTTATAATCATTATCATGTTTATTCTATTTAAATATATTGCTTAATCGAAAATATTCTTGAATATCAGTCCTTTTAATTTGCATCCGGCTATCAGTACTTACATTTTAGGTAAGGTAGTGATCAAGCAGGTACTAGAGTAAATCGAGTTGAGTAGGGTCGGTCAAGCTCTACATAACAGTAACACAAACAGTACCCCTCCAAGTTTATATAGATAGGGATTTCGGATGCAATAATAATTTCATACAATCCGTTCTCTTCATAAATCTAAATACAGGAAGAATAACAGATTTATTTCATGGTTTCTCATCAGCTGCTTACAACCTAAAACAATTTTAACATCAATTTATACATAATGTTTGCATACTCGAATCAGTTTGACAGAAAATGGTCGGCTTGAACTAAAGAATAACATCGATATGAAAAAATATGCAGAGCTAAGTTTGCCAGTATACAGGAGGATTAGACGAATATTTCAGAGCGGAAGTTGAATAAGAGGAGTAACAAGTGTATTCAACGTATTAAGAAAGCTTACACAAAATGTGTGAAAGGTCACAAGATTTATGTTAACTAAAAACTAATGTGAGTAGAATTCAGATAATTAGGTCAAGAGTATCAAATGTAAAATTATAAATAACAAAAAACCAACTTGTATGAATCGACAATGATATGTAGAAAACATGAAGATTATGATAATTTGGTTGGCTGTGGCTAGCAGAAGAGTCAAGGACGCGCGTTTCATTTTATTTGGGACTTGTCAGCTGAATGTACCTGCACCCCAGTGACGTTGTTCTCATTGCTAATAGAGGTCGAACTATTCGATCCAACAAAACAATGGAGAATAACAAGTATGTCAATAGATACTAATAACTACTACCCGCTGTACAAGAGGTGGCCGCCGCTCCTCTATGGCATAGTGGATAACGCCCTGGCGCTTGAAACGATTGGTACGAGGTTCGAATCTCAGTGGGAACAACACCACTCACTGGAGTGTAGGTACATCCAGCTGACGAGTCCCAAGTATGATGAAATGCGCGTTCTGGATTCTTCTGCTAGCCATAACCAACCAATTTATCATAACTAACATCCAGGCAGTATCGAGGCGTCTGCATAGGAGCCCATATGCCAATAGAGGTCGAACAATTCGATCCAAATAAACAAGGGAGAATAACGAGTATGTAAATAAATAGCAAAAACGTAATGATTGTCAGCAAATAAAAGTCTTTACCATGGTATGGAAAGATTGATAACTGTTTCTTTGTGACCTCTTAAGCCTAGTTCGTACCATATAATAGCTAACACTTCAAGTAAACGCAGCGTATTCGAAATCATCTATTTATCAACTATTTTGAACAATTTCTGATTATCGACTTGATGTCCACATTATTACAATAGCGCTGTTGAAGACTTTTCCACCTGTCAGTCACAAATTCTTTGGAACAGGTTCATATATGCGGTCATAATTTCAATTATCTCACATCGATGTTATTCTTTAGTTCAAGCCGACTATTTTCTGTCAAACTGATTCGAGTATGCAAACATTTTGTATAAACTGATGTTAAAATTGTTTTAGGTTGTAAGCAGCTGATGAGAAACCACGAAATAAAGTGGATACATGCTATTCTGCTAAGTCTGTTATTCTTACTCTATTTAAAACAACAATAATAATCCATTATATTTCCAGATTCATTAAAAAGAAAACAAAATCTGATAAACATGAATACTTATTGATACTATGCGAAAGAAACACAACGTAGACACCTTTTTATTCGTAAGAAATCAAGACAGTTGCATAGATTGTGGAAGTGGTTTCAAATTTACCGAATTAAAAGCATCTTCCATTAACCTATCTTCTTTTAAATGAAAGAGGTTATAACTAAAAAACTTCCCACATCTTGAGAACAAACTGTAGAGCTCCACGATTAATCGTCTAACTTTTGTACTACAATACAAAGAGAACTTGCCAAAGATGCTTTCAAGTTATCATTCGTACAATACAACAGGCTAATACTGTTGCATATGATGAATAATTATTGTCTCTAAATTTCTAGATATAGTTGTTTACTTTCCTGTTTTTGATTTATTTTTTAATGTTAATTTCAGTTCAATATTAATTCAGTTTTTAGAAAAAGGTGAAAAATGGAGAAAAAATCCCATTGATTACTTTTTATATAACAATATTGTGTGCGTGTGTGTGAATGGGAGTTGGCCTACAAGTGATGAGTTTAAAATATGCACAATAAACAATATGACATGCAGTGATTCATCATTCTACACTGTAGTCATCATCATTGGTATAGACGAGCACGCCTACTGTCTACTCGTTTTGGTATACAGGTCAATAGAAAACATTGTACAAAATGTAAATTAGTTTACTTAACAAAGATTTATACCATATCAAGGAATACTTGTGCACTGTAAACTAACAAAAGTTTAACAGCATTGAATTAGTGTAGTAAATTGAACCCATTGAACAGATAACTTAATCAATATGAAGTAATTGCCAACCAGTCAAAATATTCATTAATAAGGACGTAATTTAAAAATAATAGAGCTTGGTAAGAACCATGTACTGTTAGTTGATATTTTCTTAAGTAAAAAAAAAATATTTTTAGTTGTAAAATATTTTCAAAATCACATTCAGCGGTTCAAAAAAAGCGCGGTTTACATTGATAGAAAAAATGATTGAAAATAACATTGTACTAATCGACTGGTACAATGAAGTGTTCAATACAATAATCCATCAATTTATTGTTTCACTAGCCACTGAAATCGATTTCAATCCTTGTCATTATATGGTTCTAGCAGAGAACACTTGTTATTTCAAGAATTATAGCTATGAAGATCATTCTTTTTATATTGGGTGATGATTGGAGATGAAATGAAATTTTGGACCGCTGCCAGATTCGAACCAGCGACCACCGAGTGTTCGACCTCATGCTCTACCAACTGCGCTACAAGGTCCAAAGCTCACTGGTAGAGCATCGGACCGGAAACCCGCTGTCTGCGGTCCAAACTTTCATTTTACCTTCAATCACCACCCAGTAAAAATACTAGTCTGTCAAACCACGGTTATCTTAGATAGTCAAATGATATTCTTTTTATGTTGAAAGAAACAGAACAATATTGAATACCTACCACAGCAAATCGTTGTCATAACTCAATCTGTTACCATTCGACTTTTATTAATCTCCTTTGTATCTTCAAAGCTATAGTATGAAGGGTTAGTTAATCGGCGAGTACAAGTACGTAGTACATAGCACATTATTTTTGGCGGATTTAGTTCTAGAAAAAAAAAATTGAACATTTTCGATATCTTTCTGTACGTAATATTCATTTTAGCACATTCGCCAGACGACAAACCACAGTACCAGGAGTCACTGATTTTTATGTCACGCTGAATATCTAAGCACAAATTCATTGGTATATGGAATTAAAAAATTTGAACCAAGTAACTATTTTGCAACGGAAACTACTCAAAACCTTCAGCTGAGTTTGTTATTTGCCTGGAAGCTATCCGTAAGAAGTTCTGTCCAACCTAGATTCCATGTTTGTTGGTTACCTATCAGGAAGGCTTATCTATGAACTCAAGGGAACACTGACAGCCCCCACCTCACCCCTGACATTCGAACCCATGTCACTCTGTTGTCGTCAGCGATGTTACCACTGAGCTATCCAAACCGTTGTTGCTGACGAGTGACAACAAGTACGAAATATAGATACAGGCCTTACTGCCAATTGCTTTCAATCAATAAACATCCATCAAAGTGAACCGCTATGATCAGGCTTCTAACTTAGCGGCCATACCTTGCAAAAATGATCGATAAGATTTGGTCAACACCCAGGACTAGACAACATGAAGCCAGTTAGTCTCCAGTGATTGATCATACAATGCAATTTAAAATGTTGCAAATACATAAAAAAAATGTCATTGACAAACCTCAACAACTGCTTCTCCACAATAACCGCATCTAGGTGAGAACATTTGTAAGTGACATTGAGTACAATAGGCTTGATCATCACGTTCATAAAAATCCTGACGAACTAGACCAACACGACAGCTAGAACAGGTGAAATGTTCTGGATGCCATTCTTTACCAATAGCTGTGATTAACTGTTCAAATAATAATAGTAATAAAAATAACGATGAATAAGAATATTCAAAAAGTTTGTCAACAAAGGTTTGATTTTAGAAGGAAAACAACAAGGAAAATGTTAAGGGGTGTCAATATAAAAAACAACCAAAATGATGGTACAGAATACTTTGGCTAATAATATACGCTTACAATGGCCTTGACCATTTCTAGACCTTTCTAAAAAGACATTTCCAATTGATTTTACCTCTTCAGCCACTTCGTTTCATGTGCTTTTTCGGGAAACTGAAGTAATACGATTGGCTATGACAGGCTTCGGGAATCTTGCGCTTATTCTTATGCGGATTTGTACAATCTTATAGTATATAATAATAAATGGAAAAGAAGAGCGAATGTGCCGGTGAAATTATGATTTTTCAAGTTAGTATTCATCATGGATTGACATCAACTGCAGGAACATTGGATTCCTTGGAGCACTGGACAGCTGTCTCGTCCCACTAGTATGGTACTCCTCAGCAGTGCGCAACCACAACCCTGCCTCACCAGTCATCGAACCTGCGACTTTCAGGTGCCGTTGTCCGCATGTTACCACTGAGCCACTGAGTCGGAATCCAATGGTCCATATTTCCTTCCTCCTTCTATCATTTCACGATATATCACGACCTACACCAAATGTCGTCGTTGAGTATCTGTCCTTATGGTATACTTGGTTGACTCCACTGGTCACGACTTCTCATCACAATTATAGGAATAACCTCTCGAGGCTATGATTAATTTTTAATCAAGTCGCCTGGAATCCTTGTCACCAGCAACAATGAAGTTATGCCTAATGAGACGTTAGTGCAATTCAGTAGCATAAACTTCAGTTGCAAAATACTTGCTCAACACGCTAAATCTTCATTGTATATATGATAGCTGTTAGCAGTGGAATTCACAAAACGTGTTTAAACCCATTTGTGACGGGTCAGTAGAATGAACCTACACCCCCAGTGAATGATGTTGTTCCTACTGAAACTGGAGCCCAGTACGCACTGCTTTTAACATCAAAGTGCTATCCACTAGGCCACTGGGGGAATAGAGTCACCCCTTGCGAAACGCTTATCAGTTGTTTCTTAATATTTGTAACCTCCCTGTCGCTACACACGGTCAAACTAATAGATCAATGTTAATAGATGGGTTCCTATGAGGATCCCTCGATAATGCCAGATATTCATGAGGTTGTACTCATTGTATTCACTCGAGAGGTGTGCAAGTACAGGCAACTGACGAGTCCTACGAAATAAGAAACGCGCGTCCTAGTTCCCACTGAAAATCAATAAGATGAATACAACATCATAAATATCAGGTAGTATTATGGCATCCACATAAGAGCCCATCAGCCAACAGACATCGTGCAATTCGACCCACTTTACCAGCGAGAAATTGTAAGTAACAAACAACATTCTGCTTGATTTCATAAGAATTACAACCAACTTTTAGTGCAAGTACAATGTAAGTTATATGACCAAACGGATCTGTAACAAGTGTACAAAAGCAAAAGGTGAAAATTCACTAAAACTCATGATAATTGAAAAATATGGTGTAAGGTCTTGTCTCTTTGTCTGTCTGGTTAAAGTACGACTTAAAAGTTTAAAATCTCTTTGATAGTGACTGTGTCTTGGTGGGTTTTTTGAATTTCGGCTCATTAAGTTGCTTCCCATGTTCCCTATCATCATCTTTAGCTACTGACCGAATATCAAAAAATGGTCTTGGACACACCCTACGATGTGAATGTGAATGTTGTCTTTAAAATATGCGCTGCTACAAGAAAGTACATAAAGCAAAACACAATCAATAAATGTTTATTACCAAACATAACATAACAAAAATAAACTGCTATGACCAGTAGTACGACCTAACACTCTACGAGAGATATGAGCCTAGCAAACTACGAACGATACGAACCTAACGGGTAGAGAATCAAATCTAACGTGAATAAGAAAGTCAACCACTACCACAACAATACCATCGACGCAACATTGCAAGAAAAAGACATTTACAGAATAAAATGAGTTCATTTTAGTTTATAGCCTTTTATCAGCTCCAAACAGCCTACAAGTGAACTGAATTATTAATAGTAATAATAACATAACATACTTTAAATATGCAGAAATAAATGCAGATTTGAAATCCAGGATTAAAAATAAGGTAGTAAGTTAAGGAAACACAGGATTAATAGTTACATTATCTTAGTCAAAATCCATAACTATTTATATCTTATGAGATAGAAAATTCTTGGACCCGTGGGATAATAAACGAAAATCCGTGTAAAAGAAGGGACTCTTCAAGGGCTAATTGGTTACGCAATTATATGAAAAGCTTGAAAATCGTTAAGTGATTAATATTCAGTCAGTACTTAATGAAGGGATGATGCAATCAAAAGAAAAGGGAAAACTATATACATACATAAGCAAAAAAGGATATACATTTACCAGGGTAAAGAAAGGTTAATTACAGTCTCTTTCTGAGCACATAGGTCAGTTTAAAAATGTTTGATAGCGACAGCTTCCGCAAACAGTAATAAACATGGTGTTTTTTGCTTGTTGGTTATCCTGAAAAATTGAGAAACATCCATTTGATGTCCTGTTCTCACCGAATGCTTGGCGATTGCGCTTTTAAAGACCTTTCTACTATTCAGACACAGATTTCTCAGAATATGCCCATGAAATCGAGTAGACGCCCTTCTTTCAGTCCGTCTTATCCAGTTGCTTCCAAAAGCACAGGTGAGTTGATATACGCAGTTCGACGTGACATGAGATAGGTATTTGTCTACATTCGACTGTGTTATTGAGCACAGTGTATTGTAAACTGAGATCAGTCTGGCAGCAGGGAATCCTTCATTCTCCTGTCTATTCTTTCAGATGTTTCATTACCTTTGAATGCTAGGTGAAGGAAAATGGGCTTCTTCTCAACAGTTAGGTGTCTCAATAAGTTCTTTTCCATGCTTCGTGATGAATTTCCTCGAATATCCAATGTCTATAGGAGGTTTTTCAATCATCCCAAATTCTTCTTGTTTATGTTTAGAGCACATCTTTTTCATTCTAGTGAATAGCGTCCTGACTAAACCACGCTCATAGCCGACAGGATAGAAGCTATTGTAGTGAAGGTAATGAGTAGTCCACGTGTCTTTGCTGTGGATAGTTTTCTCAACTGTACCATCACATCCCCATCTTATGTTATGTTATGTTATGATACCTGTAACAGGTGGGAAGTTGCTCTTATTACAAGCGTTTAGTGTTACTTAGCTATTCTCATTGGTCCACTTTACTTAATCCCAACAGCAAAAAGAAAAAAAAAGGGTTGAGGTTATCGAAAGTACACCTCAAAGTTGTAGACTTAATTATCTTCATGTGACTATCCTGGTTACAAATGACAGACAAACGGATAAAGAAGTAAACTATACAACAGTGTCAAATGTCTACTGTGTGGTATTAGCCAACCGATACAGATTGTACACTAGTGTAACCAGTCACCTGTCTCTAAAGTGTGCAATAAATTTATGAGTATTGAAGAACAATTAACAGAAAGTTATGAAATCTATGCACAGTGAGAACACAATCACATTCGTATAATCACTGAACAAAGAAAATAGAGAAAAAAATGCTTACTGTTCCATTTATCGGTTTTTTACATGCATAACATTGTCCACGAGGGTGAGTATTTGCACCATGTTGAGATAATTCACATGATAAATCATTCAGCATTGAATTTAATAACTCAGTTGGACCTTGTTGACTCGGTTGAACATTTTCTGTTTGTTCATATTTTGGCACTGTTACACGTTGAGCATTCTGTCTTTGTAGTCGAGTACTACCCTTCATATTATCAATATATTGATGACTATTGTCGTCATAATGATGATATGTCTGTTGAGGCTGATATTGACCAGTACTATTGTTACTGTTCATTATCACGTTACTAATTCCCGTATTATTATTATTATTATTATTATTATTATTATTATTATTATTATTATTATTATTATTCGGAGTACTATCAATTCTATAACTTGATATTGTTGACGATTTATGTGAAGAGGTTTGTGAATTCCTTGGATGAACATCCAATGATGAATTGTTGTCAATGAATGAATTGCTCATACTACTCGGTAGTTCAGCTCCTGAATCACTTTGATTACTAACCTAAGTTTACAAAACAAAAATGAAAAAAATATATGAGAATTTATTGAGTAGCTATGAAAATGCTAAATTGATTTTTTAATTAAAACGCGTAAGAAAATAAATTCAGTGAATTCAGTGATAAATCCCTAATAAATGAATAATAAGGTACAAAACTAATTTCAAACTCTTCAAGTTATATGTACACCAAGAATCAAAGGTCTGATTGCCTAACTTCTCATTAACATAACAACTGCCACCAGGACTATCCATAGACTATAAAAAACACGTATATCCATATATATGAAATGACTGACAATGGTTAACAACAGAATCTAGGGCGCACATTTTTTCTTAATTGGAACTCGTCAGATAAATGTGGTTGGCTTCCACTGCTTGATGTTATCCTCCCTGAGATTCGAACCCAAGCACCCATCGCTTCAATCACTGCAACGTTATCCAATAATATATTGATTTATGATACATAACTAATGTTGCACTGAGTAAACAGTTACGTAGTTTCAACCCTACTCATTATATATAGTTTAAATCAAAGGACTTTGAGCGGAAAGGAAGAGTAACAGGGCGTTGAATATGCGTGTTCACCTTCCAGATTGACTTATATATCTCTCTCTGATCTGATCATAAGGGATGAAATAGTTGAATATGCAATGAAGAAAGCTAATCGATGGTCACAATCAATAGAACGACACGCTTTTTTGCCAGATGACCACTTATGAGTTACTCTTGATGAATTAATTAGATATCAGTATATTTCTCAATAAACAATAAATGGGTACTCAATTTTTCAGGTTGTAGTTAAAGTTAATCTCTACGAGTAGACTTTCATATTACGGCTGACGTACGCAGAATTCAAACACGTAAGTCAATGTAGAACTTTGCATAGACGTTCATTAGTAGTTAAACTAGTCAAAGTTCAAAAACCATAAAAACAGGAAGAAGTTAGAAAACGAGGAATATAATACAAAAAGAAGAGATCATCGTCGCCAAATTTCTTCGACCACTGACTGCTGTTATCTCAAAGACGGTAGCTAAAGCACCCTAAATAAAATTCGACGACCCGGAATCGTGCTCTGATACTTCATGTATTGGTGCCATATTTTGATCTAGTCACCATTGGATTCGGTTAAACATATCTATCAATCCAAATCAACTTATGATGAACCATTACTGCGTAATGGTCCGAGTTACCACAGCTCATATCAGTACATCAAGTAAAAAGGCAATGAAGTGGAAGGTGAAGAAAAGAAAATCCAGTCAAAAGAAAAACAAAGTACTCAAAGAGAGAAAGGAAGAATGAGAAATAGGTGAGATTAGGTATAGGGTCGTTAAGATGAGGATAATGTGTGTATACATCTGCACCACTGACATCGGTTCTCAGTCATACCACCTACAGTCTCCCTCCAACCACTGGTTCCTCTTCCACCGCGCACCCCGACCGGATGGTCTGCATCGCCCCACATGGATCAAACTAACAGTCAATGACCTCATACACTGATGTCATGTCTTAGTCTGGCAGAGAGCCTCGAGCCTTTTTCCAACCTGAACCTACTTCAGCCAACATTGTGTGACAGAGCGATCGGTGACTAGACATACGTAATACGTACCCCAACCATCCCAGTCGATGAAGGTTCACAACCACATCAACTGACTCACTTACCTCTTCTCCCCAAAACTCTACACCTGACTTCTGCCTCACTCATGTGGTGACACCACGGAATACCGTCTATACTACGAAGGCGACGGTGGTCAAACACCTGAAGCCAGCTTTCTCATATCCTCCACCTTCAATGGCCATGTTTCACAGCCACACAGTAGAACAGACCGGAATGCTGTGCAGTACACGCCACCCTTAATAGACAGTCGGATTTCACGTCGGTGCCACAGGTGGCGTAAGTCCGCAAAAGCCAACCGAGCCTTTTGTATTCGTGCAGAGATTTTGTCGGCCACTGAGCCATCAGGGCTGATCCTACTTCCTAGGTAAGTGAAGTGGTCGACACACTCAATCACTTCACTCTCTATTGTTGGCCAAGGTGCCGTTGTAAACCAATCCTGGAGCAACAATTTGCATTTGGGTGGTGAGAAACGCATCCCAAACATTCTCAAATTGTCACTCTAAGTGTACAGAGGACTCTGCATCTTGTCAGTGCCTTCACCCAACAGGATTATGTCATCTGAGTCTAACGAGAATTCTCCTGTGATTAGGTCAATGTCTGTGTAGTCAGGTGAGGAGAGAGAGACGTCCATAAGAATATCTATGATAAAATTGAATAAGAATAGAGAGAATGAGTAGCTTTGACGGACACCGCTTGACGAGCATAGCTCCCCGGACATCTCACCATTGGCTCTTATACGCCTACAAGTGTTCGAGCAGAGGGCCTTCAATAAGATAGTGCACTTACTCGGCACGCCTTTAAGTGAGAGACATTGCCATAAGACTTCTCAATCAAAGGAGTCGAATGCTACCTTCAGGTTGAGAAATACAGCTGTGCCTGTGTTCCAGAACCAGAAGTTGTGAAACGTCGTAGCAACATTCAAATAACGACTGGTTCAATTGATTTTAAGTCATTTCGACCAGGATCATCAATTAGCGAACCGTTCATTTTAAAGATCGCAAAGTAGATAACCTATAATTTCTTTTGGAACACAACAGTTTGTAGGTCCGTGGATAACACTATGCCTAAATTCGACCAGTGTTCTCTACACTGGGGCATATTGGGTAGTTAATGACACAGGATGAGTAACCGTGTCACCAGTAGTTTGATTATATGTCAGCTACAGAACATTGTGCTCCTCATCTTTTTATAAGCATTCCTTTCTCCTCCTGTTTTGTTTCTTTATTTGGAAATTACCATTAAGCTAGAATAGATATGATTGTGAATTCTCTCATGGAAACTTATGTAACTCCACATGTATTTGTGTAATTACTTCAGCCTTAGTCAGTAATTGTAAGTTAGTTGACATATATTTATAGTTGAATGTTTGGAAGATGATATTCACTAGTCAATTGAATACGACTCCTAATGGGGTGTTTATTTAAGATATCGTCTTGAAATGAATGTTGTTAAAAGAATGAAACTCCTATCAAATGGGGAAATTCATAACTTGTTCAATCACTGAATGAATATTTTTGTTTGAGTTGTCATCAACTTAAGGGATTCTTTTTATTTTACAAAAGAAAATAATTCATTTTGGTGAGATGGTTTGTCTAGTTTTAGCGAAAACTTGTCGCCAGTTTGTTTAAATATCTGATACAACATCTCATACATTCGACACTTTGGTATCATTACAGTGGTATGTTTTTTTAACTCTAGCATTTCTACATTACGTAAGTTTTGTCAGTTTAATCTGGTTCAACGCTTCTTAGTACTGCTGGTCATCGTGGTACACTCAAAGACTATTATTATTGTGATAACTTTTATTTTAGTTGGATGAATTCAATCGACAGCAAACCGTGAACCTAGCTTTCGTGCTTTTTGGCAATCGTTAACCAAGACGTGTCTGCAACCTTGAGGGATGTGATGTCCCGCCTGAGATTCGAACCCACGTCACCCAGTGTTGTGGTCAGAAACGTTACTGTTGAGCACGGAGTGATTGAAAGCTAAGTCACTCATCTCCAAAGTCATGATCTTTACGACCTGCTACTATGTTTTAGAATGTTTTATGTTTGATAACTAGTCGCTGGTTAAACTTTACAGTCATCTTATGACCGGTTTATGTAAATATCCTTTCTTTCAGTTGGTGATAAGCATCTGAAATACTTTACTTCTGAAATGTACTATATGTTATTATAACCAGAATGTATGAAGTTCCCGTTAGTATACCTTCAAGCAAATTAGCAAACTCCTCGTATCTGAAATATACTAAGTATATTCAGAAGACGTTCACTCAGAACCTTAATACTAGTTCTGTTTGCTTTATAATTGCATTACTGTATATAAAAATTGGTAGAGGAAGTTGGAACGAGGGAAATCAGCTGGTCTCATTCATCAAAATCCAAACTCCTGTCTTGCTACGTGGAAGTTAATTATTTTCATATTATCCAAATCATATACCTTATTGTTTCACTTGATTTTGTTTATTAATTTGTATCAGTTGAGACTAGTACTTTGGTGATAGATTCGATCAAACAGACAGACGAAATCAACGCAGAACCTCGCACACAAGTGCAATGGTTCAAGTTGCCACACTTTACAGTAGTAAAAAAGAACAGGTAGATAGAATAAGAGTGATATCAAAGTAGACAAAGTTGTATGAGGAAAACAACAATCTGAAAATAAAGGTTAGTGCCAATATCCAAGCTTTAGAAGACGTTAACGAGTGAATACATATGCCCCGGTATGACTGATTTTCGGACATATCATTGAAAGTCTTCAACCACTGATTCCTGTCACCTGGTGGACTACAGTCAGGTGGTCTACATCTCCCTATACGGTCTTATTGTGGCCACCCTGAACCTTCTTCCAACCCAACCCAACTTTCTTCAGCATGGCACGTCGAAGTAGGGGGTGGCTAGACACACGCAGTACATTTTTATGTCATCTCGATCGACTTAGGTCTACAACTTCATTAATTAACTTATCTGTCTTGTCTAGTTCCTTTCGCCTGACCTCAATATTGTTTACACGGTGATTTCACAATACACCGGTAATGCTACAAATACATTTGTGATCAAAACCCTGTCGTTTCCTTTTAACAGCCATGTCCCACAGCCGTATAACAAGACAGAATGGACTGCAGTGACTTAGTGTACTAGTCCTTTGATAGACAGCTGGATATCTCGTTAGTCGGCGCTACAGATGAAACAAGTCGGAGAACGTCAAACTGGCTTTCTGTATCCAAGCTGAGACTTCGTCAGCAACCAGTCCATTCGGACTGATGAAACTTCCCAAGTAAGTGAAGTGGTCGACACATCCCACCACTCTACTCCCCATCAGTAAACTAGGAGTACTTGCAGCTGACCAGTCCTACAGCACCATCTTACACTGCACAGGTGCCAGCTG